GAGGAGAGGAGAGAGGAGAGAGAGAGAGAGAGGAGAGAGAGACGAGAGAGAGAGAGAGAGAGAGAGAGAGAGAGAGAGAGAGAGAGAGAGAGAGAGAGAGAGAGAGAGAAGAGAGAGAGAGAGAGAGTGAGAGAGAGAGAGAGAGAGTGTGAGAGAGAGAGAGAGAGAGAGAGAGAGAGAGAGAGAGAGAGAGAGAGAGAGAGAGAGAGGGAGAGAAAGAGAATGGTGATGGACGGTGGGTGGTTAAATGTAGACGGTTGTCGGTCGACTGTGGACTGTGGACAGTTGACGGTGAATTGTGGACTGCGGGGTGGTCTGTAGACGGCTGCGGCTGTATTCGGTGGCCGGTGGATGCTGGTTATTGAACAGTGGGTGTTGAACTGCCGCCTGTCTGGTGTGTACTGACTGGAAACGTGAGCTTACTGGGCAGAGGGCAGGGACAGACGGCAGAGCGCTGGGGGTGGGAGGACCGCCCGGCCCGCCCGCAGGCGATCCTCGGCCGTCTGCGCTGCTCGCCGGCGGCGCCACAATAGTGTCTGTGCGCCGCATTGATGGCCCTGCCGGCCGCCGGCGGGGCAGGCGTCTGTGTGATTGGCCGCAGCTCAATAGCGGCCGCCGGCAGCCCGGCACGTACAGAGAGCTCCGGACCGGCCCGGGGCGGTACCGCCGCCGGCCCGGAGCCGGAGCCGGAGCCCGCCGAGCGCCGCAGCCCGCCCAGCCTGATTAATTAGCGCTCTTATCGCCGGCGCGACGACACAGAGCCCAGCGTCCTTTGTAGCCCAGCTCCGGCGCTTTATCTGCGGACTGCATCATCGGGCTCTGGTGACGGTGGATCCTCTGAGGGGTCAGTGTGACCTCGACCTGACCTTGGCCCGGTGCTGAGGAGGGGCGGGGCGCCGGGCGCGATGGGTTGTCGTGACCGGGCAGCTGAGAGCGGCACGCTACTCAGAGCCGCCCCCGGTCGGTCGATTTGGGCCGTCCGGGTTTCCTGGACCGATCGGACGGCGACAGGCGTGGAGAAGACGCCGTTGGCGACGCCCGCCGCCAGCGCCTCTGGTGGCCGGCGGCGGAGCTAGCGGCGACGCCTGGTTAAATGTCAAGGGTCAAGGTTCCTGCCGCTGCGCTCTGGTGGTACCACTCCGAAGCTTGCAGCTCTGTCCCGCCACAGCCCGATGGTGGACTTCGAGCAAACATGACACGGCTTCGTGGGTCACCGATGGTGAGTGGTGATGGTGAGCTCCCACGATGCTTTTTGTGAACATCAGAATTGAAGGTGTTATAGTAACACTTCTTACTGTCATTTTGTTCACCCGTAACTTTTTTATCTATGGGGAGCAGAAAATGTGACCAATGATCCAATCATGACCATATCGGCCACTTTGATAACTGACTTTGATATAAAAAGTGATGTAGGTAAGGAAGTTAAAAACTAACTCTGACTGAAACCTAGCAGAAAAAAGGAATGATTGACAAATTTGTTTTCAGTAAATGCTGTGAACCTGTTCAGAATTGATTCTTAGCGGCTTATCAGTGTGCTCACGATCGACAAACTGATGGCTGGCTATCATTTAGACGTCAAGTGCAGACTGCAGAGTTGACCTGAATGTCGGAAGGGTGAAAATCTGGACGAAACGACAGTTGGATTGGATGTTCGCGAAAGTAATAGCGCTCCACGAAGCGAAGTAGGGAGCTGCTTGGGGGAGCTTGTATTGCATAATATCACCAACAGGCATGGTCCCTATGATAGGTGAAGCTGCTTGGAATGCATGGCCCCGAGGTCACAGCGTCCGAGACGCCGGCTCCAAATTGTCCGATGACGCCAACTATCTATATTGCAGTCATCGAGCAGCCAGCAGGGCGTGTGAGGGAAGCCGGAGGGACGGCAGGAGGGCGCCCTCCGCTGAGCCGGAAACGGCCGACAAGCCACAGCCGGAAGAGGCGATGAAAAATGAAACGGAAGCGTGAATAACTGATGCCTGGAAGACGGACCGGATAAGAAACGGCGGCACGCGCGGGCGAGTGCGTATGCCAACAGGGCGGAGCGGCATGATATAAATGACTGACTCGGCGGACGAGCTGATCAGGAACGAGCGGCGCGTATAGTGTGGGCCGGCCGGGCCCGGGCAAAAGGATGGCGGACGGTTAAATTCGTGCCGAGTTGAGATTGTAGAATAGCATGTAGCCTGTTTGAACATATGATGTACAGATAGGAGCAAGGCTAAAATGCTAACATTTTGTTATTTTGTCAGGTACCTTGTTTTGTGGATAAGTGGATCTTTCTGTCGTTGAGGGCCTAACTTAAAAGCCAAACTTTTAACGGCAGCGATATTTTAGTGGAAGATTCCCAGGGGACCGGACGAATACCGTACTATCCTGTCGCGCCGTCCATTCCCTCGCCCGTATACGCCGCCACGACCCGGGACGGCGGGCGCGGACAGGACTCTGCCTCCCTCTGCCGCCGAAATCACCGCCTGCCGCCGCCGCCCGGCCATTCCGGCACAGAAACGACCGCCGGCCGGTCGCCTGTTTTCGCTTTTTGCCGATGCGCGTGAGCCTCTGTGGCCATTTGGTGGTGCCGATGGGAAGCGGCCGGGATTGGAGGCAGGTCCGTGTCGCTGGGCCGACCCGGCGCGCCGCTGGCCCGGTCAGAGGCCGTGCTGTTGTGACCAGTTGGGCGCGGTTACTGTTAGTGGTTAGCTGTGTAACGTGGAATTGTTCGGAGCGGCCGGCGGCGCGGGGATATTGGGGAAGCCAATCCAAGCGCCGGCCGCACCTCCTGGAAAGCGGTGTCTTTCATCCGGGGCGGCCGCGCAAAAAGGCCGGCCTGAGGGAGGCGTGGGCCGCCGGCCTGTCGGCCACATGTACCGGTCATCGATCGATCCATGGCACCGGCCGCAGCGCCACCGCCCTCTCTCGGCCGGCCGAGCAACTGCAGCTTACGGCGCCCGCCGCCGGCCAGTCGATGAACTCGTCCCCGACCAACCCCGTCCGCCCACACGGCCGCCCAACAGACCAGTGTCCTCTCCTCGTCCCAGCTTTATTTACAACAAATTCCGTCCAGCACGACCCACAATAACACACAGATCACGCTTCGAGCATGACGTACAATGAGATGGCCCGGACCACTGCGAACGAGCCGCGCGGTACCGGCCCCTGAACATCAGCATTCAGTGAGCCCCGGTACCGGCTGCGTTCATCGGTCCCACCGGCCAGCTAGCTAAGGCGGCGCGCAACTGAAGACCGGGATGACGGTGGCTTGGCATTTGTAAGAGGCAGACATTCATCCGCGGCCGTGAGCCTGTAACAGACGGCGTCGGTCAGTTGCCGAGTAACAGACAGAGCCCCGGCTGCCCGGAGAAGGTGAGCCGCCCTCCCGCCCGCCCGCCCGAGGCATTGATCAGCTCCGTTAGTGACCACTCAGATAGATTGGAAGCCCGGGATCTCCGGTATCGCCGCCGGAGGTCGACCGTATACCATAGACGGGAAGCGGAACCGGCGCAGTGTGACAGTCGCGGTCATTACCAGTTACCACGTACAACTTGGATCGAAGGAATGAAATGTCAGGGTCTAATCGATGAGTTGAAGGGTTCCCATAGCTGGACTTCCAATAAACGTGACCCGTATCGGACAAACAGGCACAGCGTCGGTCAATGTGTAACTAACACAAGGCACGCTTTGCTCGTTCCCATCAGCAGCGAAAGCCATAAATTCATGCTAAAAAGACAAACAAGACCCGGCACTGTCACTTTGCTGTAAATCAATCTACTCCAGAGACCCAACGCTCCCCGGCAACACTGCCATAAAACGTCAACGCAGCATAAAACAAAACATCTCACCCAGTTCTCGCGACACTCTCACCAGTCCCTCTACCCCCTCCCGCTGCTCTCACCTAGGACTCGTAGTGGTTCTTGAGGCCGGCCAGCAGCGCGTCGCACGTTTTCTTGGCGTCTCCGAGCAGCATGGACGTGTTGGGGTTGTAGAAGATGGGGTTATCGACGGCCGCGTAACCCACGCCCAGCGAGCGCTTCATCACCACAACCTGAGGGGGGGGGGAAGAGGGGCGTCAGGGGGTGTTGGCAAAAGGGTTCTAAGACCATTGGGGGCCAGCGGTCGAGGCGTTCTGTACTTCAATGGCGTGATTCCTCTTTTCTCTTGCATACATATGCAAACATCTAAAACAAACGATCGAATGTATAATCTGAAAGAGCTGCGAAGTGTACTACAGAATAAATAAAGGCTTACAAGTACAGTACGGAAAGATAAGCAGGCAAGGTTCCGCATTTGTTATGGTTTCCTACGTAAATGCATGCATCAATACGTCTCATAAGCATTGAGGGGCTGGTCGGCCGGCCGGGCGTGCGGAGCGCCGACCTCCGGATTGACGCTTCGCTCGCCCGGTCGGTGGTCAGGGGGCACCGCCCGGGGTTGCTTGCCGGGCGGTGCGGGCGGGGGCTGGCGGCCCGCCTGGAGCGCCGGGGAGGTAGCCATCAGATCTCCCCGGCTGGGGAAGCATCCCCCAGCTCTCCCCAGGGCCGTGGACGGCACCGTCCCGGCCTGGCCAGGCGGGCCGCCGATGGTGAGCACAACGTTTCATGCTTATTTTTGCCGGTGTTTTTATGTGAATTATGTAAATACAACCGTGAAAAAAGTCTCATAAGCATTCGGTTTTTTAATTCATCGTAATTTCCTCCCTTTTCACCCTGTCCAGCGCTGTGCAGAGCCCTTCTCTGCCCCACTCAGCCCCTCCTGCGCGGTCAGCAGGCCGCCGGTCCAACAATGACCCACTTTGATGTCACGCCGCGCATGATAACCAAATTGACACGGCGGCGCCCCGCTGCGTGCCCGCGTGTAATCCGCGCTACGCACGCCGATAACAAGCTGTGTGCGCAGTGTCACCGGTGTCGCGGCCGGCCGGCGGGGGAGGCAGGGGAGGCGGGGGAGGCAGGGCCACCCAGACCCTCCGTAAAGGTTAGGGTCGGCATTACGTAACAACAGCCGGGGTAAATTGGCCGGCCAACTGTGTTAGGCCGAGGTTGACTGACGTGACCTTTGCCCGCGCTGACCGTCGGAAAAGACTAGCTGTCTTCTTCTGGCGGAGTCTCGCATCCAACAGGAGCCCTCATCAGGCCCGCAATTACCCGTGTCCGGTATTCTATTCCGCGGCTCGGACACCTCGGGTTCTCCGAACTGCGCTCTGCCCTCCGCCGGCCGTCTGGGTGACCTGCTCTGTCCCCGGGCCGGCCGGCCGAGCACGTATTCAGGTCACGCAGCCGGGCACCGGGCGCAGACGGCGCAGATTTCCCCGCAGAACAGACGGCCACCCGGGGGAGGCGACAATGCCCCGAGTATTTGCTGCTGGCGTCCTACACCCGCTGAGGGATGGCGGGATTTCAGCGCCGCCGGCGGGCTCTAAACGGCCCGCTAATGTGTGCTTTGTGTAAAAATGAGGCGTCTAAATCCGAGCCGCGTCATCCCCGCGACATCCGGCGGGTTAGGCCGAATAATTCCCAGTACTGGGTCCAGCCTGAAGGCGTGATTGGGTGTGGTATTTGAGGCGCAAATGTAAATCAACATTATGACAGCAATAAATTCAGCGGCGCACTCAATCGTGAACTTGACAGGGTTCAGAGTGCACCGACATTTAGCCGACGGCATTCGATGACATTTACCCTTCAAAGAAACGTGTCCCGACGCATGAGCAAATGTAAACCAAATGATCTCAGTTCGATATTCAGATAAATCGATCAATCGAAATATTACAGAAGCATCTAATGAGACACTAAAATAACTAGTTCACAGACCTGACCGAAAGTGTTTGCTTCCTTGCAGTTCTCCAAACTAGCTCCATTAAGCGCAGGCCGCAGACCCGCAAGCCCTCACCGCTGCTCCTGTCCCCGCATAGTCTAGCCACCGACCGACTACCCTTGTCACCAGCCACCCACCCTCTATCCCCCGCCGTCCATCTGACCTGGTCCGACTTCCAGACGCGCAGCACGGGCATGCCAGCGATGATGCTGTTGGGGTCGTCCTCGGCGGCCGAGTTGACCGTGTCGTTGGCGCCGATGACCAGCGTGAGGTCCGTCTCGGGGAAGTCGTCGTTGATCTCGTCCATCTCCAGCACTTGGTCGTAGGGCACGCCGGCCTCGGCCAGCAGCACGTTCAGCTGGCCGGGCATACGGCCTGGCGGGGGAGGGGGGGGGGGTGGTTAGACGGGGTGGGGAGGTCAGCAGAAGAGGGGCAAGGGATAGAACACGAGCGGAACACTGAACAGTGAATAGGTCATCGACAAAGATACGACTAGCCATGATCTCTGGAACAGAATAAAGCATCGCGCGAAGTAGGTGATAGGGTCGGGAGAAAGTAGTTGCGAGCAGGAGAGGTCAGCTTTAGAGCTCAGAGTAATGGTTGACGCTCCATGCTTAGGTCCATAGGGTGTTGCATTCCTAGGAGGCATGGTTTGACGTGACGGTGCAGATTTCTCGTCAAATATCTCTGTAAATAAATAACTCCGGGTGTGGGCCGGAGGAAGTCCCGGACGTAACGAGCTGGCGATACCAGGGGTCGGAGCTGGGAAGGTCGTAACCTGACGCCGCTGTGGGGTCCGGGAGGTCATACGTCGGCCGTCGCCGCTCTGGGTGTCATCGGTCGGTAAGGTCACCAGGTCAGCGGGCTCCCTGCGGCGGCGGAGTCGACCCGAGCCGGCCGTCCATCCCGGCGGGCCGGCGGACGTGACGGACCGACCGATCGAGCCGCCGACGGGCCAGTGACCCAGAGCAGGGACCGACGGGAGGGGGAGAGTGACCCGGAGCAGGGGCCGACAGGGAGGGGGAGAGTGATCCTGAGCAGGGACCGACAGGGAGGGGCGAATGATCCTGAGCAGGGACCGCCGGGATCGGGAGAGTGACCCAGAGCAGGGACCGACAGGGAGGGGGGCCAGTGACCCAGAGCAGAGGACCGCCGGGGAGGGGGCCAATGATCCTGAGCAGGGGACCGCCGGGGAGAGGGAGGGTGACCCAGAGCAGGGACCGACAGGGAGGGGCGAGTGACCCTGAGCAGGGACCGACGGGAGGGGGCCAGTGACCCACAGCTGGGACCGCCGGGGAGGGGGGAATGATCCTGAGCAGGGACCGACGGGGAGGGGGCGAATGATCCTGAGCAGGGACCGCAGGGAGGGGGGCAGGTGACCGCCGGGGTGGGAGCGAGTGATCCTGAAGTCGTGACCCGCCAGGGGAGGGATGTAGGAGTGGTGGGTCCCAAATCCTTGCCACACCTTCCTCCCTCCGACCTGGAGCGCCAGCCACCCCTCTCTGAGCCGACCTCTACCATTAACAAACTCCTCAGACTTTGTTCCAGACAGTGAGTCTTTCTTGGACGTTTCCCCACCCGACCAAGAACCCACTCGAGACCACTCCCACACCCATCTTACCACAAACCGCCCTAATGCACCGCTTAACGAGCTCGAAAGGTCCAGACGGGGACGGCCGCGGTCCACCCACAGCGCAAAGTTGGCGCGCGGCTGGCTAACCCTTCCGATATGAGCGACAAACGACCGAGACGAGCCATCTCGCCGCTTCCGGGCGGGCCAATTTCACGATCGGAGGACCACAAAGTGTCAGGGCATCGGGCCGATGGATTCAGGTCGCACAAACTTGGGCAGACACGGCTGACAAACCGCCAGAACTGTCGGCGGGTAAGTCGGATGTGTTCATTGAACAGGCCGACAGCAAACTAGCGGCACGCCCACACCGTACACGACACTTATGAACTTCAAAGCATTCAGTAACTTGAAAAAGCATTCCAAACGAGATTACGTCAAAAAGAAGCCAGTCTGGATGCAGCATGTATAGACATTCAGCTAGCCAAAACTATTTTACTCGAATTGCATCTGAGAAATACGTCCACAGTATTTTCACAAGAAGCCGGAACTTCAGGCAATTTACCGACAAAGCACTGACACATCTAAAATTTATAAATCTCCTAAATTTGTATCCGCAGCACTATAAATTTCTTCCCAGTATCGCTCTCTTCCGCCGACTACGACTGCCGAAGAAACGCGCCATCTCCACAAAAAGCGTGGCGAACATTCGTCATCGGGCCCGAATCGGGCGGCGAATTTCCCGGGCCCCACCGGGGCGCCTCCGTCCCCGGCGCCATGATAAATGTCCGGGCCACTAGGCGCGCCGGCCGAACGGCGCTTTTCAATCTGCGAGATGGGAGTCGATCTGGCTATCGCCTGGCAACCGGTCGGAGGGTCTTCCATGGCCCCACAACTCAGCCGCGGGCGGGCGGCTCAACGACGGCAGAGAGTGGGCGGCGCCGGGAATGGTCCGAATCACGGCCGACAACGGCGCCGGCCCGCCACTCTCTCCCAGGGTACAGACAGAGGGGGAGAGAGGAGAGGAGGGAGTGGGGACGTCCTCAGATGTCCGAACAGGACCTGTCAGGGGTCTGTCACACACAGGCCCGATTGGAGGCGGGGGACGGGGCGGCGGGGACGATGGCGATGACGATAGGTATAAGAGACGTTATGGGGCGAGTGTCTGTGACGGACAAACATGATGACGCACAGAGATAACAGCCGCAGAAATGAGGGATATCAGATGAAAAAAAAATGGTAATGAAATGTAAATAATATTGTCGTACTGGCACTGGATTATCGGATCTGCTCCGCTTCATCGACCGGTGAGCTGGGAGATCAAAACGTGGAAAAAGATATCTTGAAGCATACTCGGTGTAACGATGCGTTCACTGTTCAGGGTGAGGTACAACAGATGTTGGTGCCTTAGTGCGGTAATACACTGCCAATCTGCGCTTAAAAGTCTACTTGATGATCCAGATTTGACTTAAAGTTAATGAGAATGTGGGGAGTTGCTTTAGAACAAAGAAGAATGCATAGGCCATTATTGTTCGGCGAGAAGCACAGCAAACTTCATTCGAAACTTCCCTACCGTGCTGATTAAAAACGCAAATAAATCATAATGATGATTATGAGTTAGAAATAAAACCAACCGAATTGAAGCACATGTACGAGCCGAATCCTTTTAGCGGATAGGGCTTCTCGGGAAACGCCGGTCGTTCTTTCTTTTACAAACACCACAGAGGAGACTATGGGCTAAAGCACCGGCAACTGGGTAGGGATATCGTGGAGTTAAAACACACGGACGGAGAGTGCAAGAAAACTCATCAAAAGTTACAGCAAACCACAATGCCGCACAATATTGCATCGGGTAGCAAACAGCCCAGGTCGTGGACCCCAATGACAGTCATTCCGATACACTGTGTGTCAGATACCACCAGACAATGGATGCCAGGCACATAACAGACATACCAGACACTGTGACAGCCGCGTCCCCGAGGCCGGCGCGTCAGTCGGACCCACCTGCCACGGGGTGGATGCCGAAGCGCACGTTCTTGCCCTTCTTCTGCAGCAGAGAGACCATCTCAGCGATCGGGTACTGGGCCTTGGCCACGCACAGTCCGTATCCTGTGGGTAGAGGGTCGGGGTGTGTCAGGGGCGTAATAAAGAGCACCCATCACTCGGCCATGCACACTGCACAGTCCGTATCCTGTGCGGCTATCCATATCCATACCCATATGAAAATGGATATCCATATCTATATCCTATGGACAGGGGACAGGGTTTCCTTCAGCATACAAACACTGAGCTGTACACTCAGTAGCGTAATTAGTGGTTTTGTAATGAAGCACCTACCCCCTACCGGATACCACAGAGCCAGGGCATCGTCAGACCGCATGTCATTGAAATGTCGGTGTTCAGAGTACACCGTCGCGGCGCTGGAGAAAGCCGGCATTGTGGGCACACACAACACTCAGTGCAGGTGAGCACACTCGGCGACAAAGCTTGGTGAACTCTCAGCCCCCAGTACTAGTCGGCCAGAGCCGCGGCGGCACTCGGTCGAGTGGCTGCTCGAGCTCGGCCGCTGAATTCGGTGAACGGATCAGCACCGCTGAAATATGACGACTGCCAGCCACTATAATGACGACAGTGAAAAATGAGAGGATTTGATAAGCCGAAGAGGATTTATACGATAGCTCTATGACGTATTAACAACGTAATTCAAAAGACCCTCAAAGCCCGACTCTCGACGGCCGAATCGATGGGATTGCTCGATATCAGAGCTGGCAATGTAACCATAGAGATCTTATAATGTAACTAGATCAATGAGCATCACAAGCTAACCATTTGACGGTAATATGAAGGCGACTGGCAAGCATGTTCTTTTGATGTAAATTGCAAACGACACTCAGCCGCAAATATCACGGATCCGGATGCAAGCACTCTTTGAAAGTCGGCTCCATTTCATTCCCGCGCCGAATAACGCCAGACAAATCCCTTTCATTACAAACGAAAAACGCCCGCTAAATGGCGCGACGGCAGATCCGCCCCCGTTTCAGGCTCGGCCTATGTTTAGGTCACGTCGCTGGCCGAGCCACAGTAAAAACTGGTGTGAGCAGTGAAGTTCCCGCCGCCCGGAGCCGAAACCAGTCGCCGGCGCGCACAACAGTCGGAAGTGGGTGTTGTTTGTCCGCCAGCCCGCCGTTCGTTAGCGACGCGTAATTGGGCTGATGACGCAATCTAATCACCGCCGTAATTAATGGGACACAAAACACCGCTCCAGAAAAGGGCGGCGGTTCGCCGACTACGACTCGGAACAAACCGTACAGGGGATACAATCCACACGACTGGTAAAGTTCAATACAAAACACGTGGCCGCATAGCCATAACCTCCTGTATAACGTTTCAGTGGTTAGTTTTAAAACGTCTCAATCCCATTTTCCTAATGCGGCCCGTAATGGCCAGGCCCCAATCAGAATGGGATCCGATCGGTGGCGGCGGTCGGTGGTCCTGATTTATGTCCAACTGGACTATTGAAATGAGCTCTCCGGAGTGGCCCCGAAATAGCCCAAATCGGCCCGAGTCGCCAGCCCAGGTCCCCCTACGAGCCGATCGCGTGACGGCAGGTCATCGCGGCCGAATGGCGCCTGTTTTTACTGCGACACACAGACGCGAACGGCGCCTCGGACGGCGAGAGGAGGCAGAGGGGGAGACGAGAGGGGCGGGAGGCGACCGCGATCACCGACACCACCGCCAGGAAATCAATCAGGGAAGACTCGGACCAAAAGTCGGCCCTCCACTTCATCAGCACAAAACTGAGCAGAGTTGGAGAGTTAGTCCTAAGGACCAGGACGTGGTGGGACCCTAATCGGATACAATCGCTCTCCGATCGGGCAAGTTTCGCGCCGGACGGGGTTGGGGCCGTAAGCGGATACGGCACAAATTGGAACGGGCTGTGTGATTGGTTGAACGCCAAACTGACTAGGGGAACAATAAAGCAGAGAGGTGGGAGTCTTCCTAAAGGCATTGAATTAGACTTTGTAATACCCAGCCTATAGTAGTCAAAACTTACATGTGAAACTTAGTCATGTACCAACATGATGAAAACATGTTAACAACATGAATGCCTGCTGCCAGCTGCCAGTTAACACTCTAAGTCTCACTATAAGACACCTTTTTAACAGTAGGGATGCGTCTTCCCTCTCATCACTGCGGACAGTCTAACACAAACAGCTGCTCGAGAGCCCCCTTCCCTATTAATCGCTGGCTCACCGGGTGTGATGATGATGTTCTTGGCGTTGGTGATAGCCTCGACCGTCTGCTCCACGTTAACCTCTGTGTGGGTGCCGGTAATCTCCTTGGGCTTGCCGGTGCCGGTAGACGAGGTGCCGAAACCACCCAGGATGACGTTGGGGAGGGAGCGGTTCATTGCCTGGAGACGAGTCAGGGGCCACAGTCAGATACTGGTGAATGGAGCGTCAAATGAGCATTGTCGTCAACAGGGGTTCGCCAGATGTTGATGAGACGCTGTAGAGCGAATATTTAGACATTCACCAGAAGAAAGAAACCCCCAACTCACAGCATCGACAGGAATAGAAAAAGGAAAATTATAAGAAATTCAGCTTAAAACATAGAACCGCATTGTCATAGAAATAAAAACATTACGAATATTTATCACACATCGTTCATATTTTCGAAATACGCGTGGTTCAAGGTCACATTAGTTCAACTCATTTGTCCACTCCTGACTTGCCGCCGTCGACTGCGTTCCCACCTTGCACATGATGTAGGATAGGACGGCAGCTCACCTTGCACATGATGTAGGAGAGGACGGCAGCTCACCTTGCACATGATGTAGGAGAGGATGGCTCCGGAGGATCCGATCAGCGCGCCCACCACCGTCATCAGGTTGTTGTTGAGCATGAAGCCCTCGGCGCACAGTGCCCAGCCAGAGTACGAGTTGAGCACCGTGATTACCACGGGCATGTCGGCACCTAAGGGCGGGGAAGGAACACTGGGTCAGACAGGTCACAGCACCCAGCCAGAGTACAAGTTGAGTACAGTGATCACCACGGGCATATCGGCACCTACGGGCGGGGAAGGAACACTGGGTTAGACAGGTCACAGCACCCAACCGGGGTAAGAGTTCAGCCCGTAATTACAACGGGCATGTCGGCACCTGAAGGAGGTGGGGAAACACGGTCACGAGAGGTCACTCAAGGTCAGACCGGTTGCAAGAGCCACATAGTGATCCCTAAGGACTTGTCCACGCTTTGAGGAGACGAAAAACGTCAGGTCACGGGGGTTACAATGAGGTCATGAGGGGGCTACAGTCATTTCCTATCTAATATCGGGCCACAGAGGCACTAAGACCTGCGACCAGGCAAATGCCTACTGACATTTGCCTCGTCGTTGACCGCTTCGACGACGAGGCGAAGCGGTCCAAGCAGGAGAACGGCCACAACGGCGTCAACGGCCAGGCGGCGCCCCTGATATGCGTCCGCCCCGACCTAGACCCGCTGCCCCGCCCTTCTGATCTGGTTCACCCGTGCATGATGTCTCGCCGCATCATTTTATAGTGCATTTTTAGATGTCAAGATTTTCAAACAATTTCTAACCAGTAAAACGCCTTTTGGGCGAAGAACGAGCGAGCGAGATAGTGAGCCCTGCACGTGCGGAAAGGCGAGAGGGTACTTTCAACGGGCTTGTGCAAAGCAATCTTCTAACCGGTCGCTAGCGGTGTGCCAAATTTGAACGCAATCGGCCCAGCCGTTCCTGAGATCTGGAAGCGGCATTCTGCACGTGCGCACGTGCAAACGGGGTCCAAACTGACTTTTGCACGGCACCCTACTAACTGGTCCCCAACCGTGTACCAAATTTGAGCGCAATCGGCCCAGCCGTTCTCGAGATATGGGAGCGCCCCCTGCACGTGCGCACGTGCAGTAGCACCCTAACCGCAACACATGGGAATGCATTGCCTGGTAGGTGCCTACCTGTATGCCAGGTTTCAGCGAAATCGCCCCAGTAATTACCGAGTTATTGAAATGGGAACAAATTTGGCACCTCTTATTGTTGTATTTTGCACGTGCACTGGGGGTCACTCACATAGATCAAGAGTATCCGACCTTTGGTAGAAGGGATGCAGCTACCCTACAAAAATTACTGCAAGACAATCGCCCAAGCGGCTGCTGAGATATGAGCCTCTCAAAATCACTACTTTTGCAAAACAGCTTGAACACCCTTGACTTTTCACGTGGCACGTGCGACGACGGTCACTGTGAGATGTATCAAAAGTAGTCAATTACGGGGTAGAAGGGATGGGGCTACCCAGCAAAAAAGACCGCAGGCCAATCGGTCCAGCGGTTGCTGAGATATAAGCCTCTCAAAAGCGTTACAGGCCGGGCCGGGCCGGGCCGGGCCGGGCCGCTCATACTGAGATTTTTCCGTTATATTGAAAAGACTCACTTCGCTCGCTGCGCTCGCTCGCTCGTAATCAACCGCCGTAGGTACAATGCCTACTTGTCACAAATCACAGTATGTCACGAAGTGTCACAATATGAGGCGAATGTCTACTGGAGTTGCATTACCCGCTACTCACGGGTAGCAATCCTCCTCAATCAGCGCTCACCTCCGATGGCGGCGGTGAGCGTGACGCCCATGACGCCGCTGAGCGCCGCCGTGCTGCCCAGACACGTCAGGCCCGTGGTCAGCGACGGGTCATAGAAGAACAGGCCCATGGCGCCCACGTTGGCCGCCAGCAGGCCGGCGTTGAGCGCGTGCCGGCCGGGCAGCAGCAGCGGCGCCGAGTTCAGCAGACCCTGCAGCTTGCCGTAGGCCACCAGCGAGCCGCTGCGGGGGGTGACAGGGAAAATGGGAAACGAGTTAGAGAAGACAGATAGGAGTCGAGGTAGCGTCTATCTGGCACCTTCGGTTTGAATATGCTGTCGAGATGGCGCCACTGGTGAGAGTAGGTAAGTAAGAGTTGACTCGGAATGACAGAAACGACACAACACTAAATCCAAACAAAATCCCGCTAGATGCACCGACATCCGATCCATCCCCGTCCCTCTTCCATCCCATGCCAAACTAACGTGAATGTGACGCCGCCGATGTAGGTGCCCAGGAACAGAGCTCAAACCTCTCCCCTAGCCCCCGTATCCCCCCACCCCTCCCCCCAGTTAACTGACGTGAATGTGACGCCGCCGATGTAGGTGCCCAGGAACAGAGCCGTCTTGATGACGTTAGCCGCCGGGTCAGTAGCGAAGTTGGGGAAGTCGTGCAGGTAGGTGGCGAAACAGGTCAGCACGGCAGCCATACCCACCAAGCTGCGGGGAACAGAGGTCAGGTCAGGTCAGAACGGCCGCCATACCGGCCAGGCTGTTAAGTGAGGTTAGGTCACGATGGGTAAAACAGACTGAAATGTCAGACAACAATAAAGGGAAACCGATGTAACAACTGACCCACAAGTTAACGATCCTGTTAATAATGATACACACTTCCAGTTCGGCAAACAAATATCTGCTATTGGCTAATTTTTTTTTTCAAACAACGACTAAACATCTAAATCTGTTGACCAATTGTGAGCGGCAACGATTCACTACTGCCCGAAATCCATCGTTGACCCGACCGGCCCGCAGCACTACCTCTACCCTCGCCACTACCCCCTCGGACCGACCTGTGGAAGGCGGCCACGAGCTGCGGCAGGTCGGTGATCTCGATGCGCTTGGCGATGGTGGAGCCGATGGCGCCGCCGGCTCCGGCCACTAGCGCCATCTGAGTCAGGACCGGTGTGGTGGGCTGCAGGATGCCCAGGGTGGCAGCGATGCCGCCAGAGACGCCGATCTGACCGCCGGGAGGGAAGGCAGGGAGTCAGAGTGGGGTCGGGGTGAGTTATGGGCGGTCGGCAATAGGCCGACAGACAGGCGGCCTCGATGAGTATTCGTTGAACAACATCTCTGTGAGAGACTGAGAGCAGACAATCAATCAAAAACAAAATCCCTAAATTTTCTAAGCTTTCCTCCATCTGAGTTAGAAGGCGAGGCAGGGACGTCGGTTCACCATACTCAATGCATTTCAACTCAAGTCGACTTTCCCTCTCCCCTCCCCCACACGCACCATGCCGAGGGCGTTTCCGAGCCGGGCCGTTTTCTGGGTGGACAGTCCGCCGAGCGCTCCGACGCAGCAGAGCGAGGCGGCCAGGTAGGCCATCTGGTGAATCTCCGGGTAGCCCTGACTGACGGCGGCGCCGTAGCCGCCCAGGAAGCCGGCCGCCGGCACCGCGTACAGGTAGTTGTACTCGGGAGGGTCCGTCGGCCGCTTGAACATGTCCAACATGCGCTGCGTGACGATGAAGCCGCCGAAGATGTTGATGAACGAGATGAAGGCGGCCGACGCGCCCAGAGTCTGAAAATGGGTCAGACAAGGGTGTCAATGAGGCGGGTATCGAACACGGGCCAGTTGTTGTCAGTCAAATTCCTTGCAATATCCATCCCTGATGGGAATAGTAAATCAATCAGCAGTCACTGAGACAGAAGATCAGCTTCCATACAACTAATAGGTACCTTACCTTTTACTTCACATCGATGCTTTACTCATTACAACAAACCCGCGATGCATCAAAACTGGCTGTGCATCGACACCGCCCCTCCCCCCTCCTCGCCCCTCAACAAACACGCACCTCGATGGTGTTGGTGGGGTAGATTTGTCCGTTCATCAGCAGCATGCCGCCGACGGCCGTGATGCCCGAGATGGCGTTGGTCACGGACATGAGCGGGGAGTGCAGCGCCGGCGTCACCGACCACACCGTGTGGTAGCCCACGATACCGGCCAGCGAGAACGTGGTCGTCATCGTGGTGAAGGCCGGGCCCGGCGAGGCCACGCCCAGCGCCAGCAGGCCGCCCAGGCCGCCCGTGTACATCAGCGCGTCCTTCATGGTGATCATGAAGTAGTTGGGCTCGGGCGCGGGCGCCACCTCGACCGGCTTGGCCGGGCCGACGGCGGTGGCGGCGGCGCCGGGCGCCGGCTCCGGCGGCGGCGGCGGCGGCCACATCAGCTCGCCCTGGTTGAGGATGATGGAGCCGCGAACCACCTCGTCGTTCATGTCCAGGTTGTAGTGGTCCTTCTCACCTACAGGGGGAGGGGAGAGGGGAGAGAGGTGAGAGGGGAAAGAAAGAGAAAGGGGGTGAAATGTGAGAGGGACAAAACGAGAAGGTAGAGCGCTATCACAGGAGGGTCGGAAGACTGATGAGTGATGACTGTAGTATCGAAATATCGTAATGACGTCTCGGGTTGTGGTTCTGAAGTCCAATTAACCGCCACATTGAGACGTGATGGATTATGGTGTGCCGATACCAGATCCGATCACTTCACGGCATTAAGCCGCTGGGGTTCAGCCAAGACTGCGCGACTGTCTGACCCCGGCAACCACCCGGATTCTGAGAAACCCAGATCAGCCGTCCGTGGCAACCGGCGCCGCCCGTTCCGTGTCCGGCTTCCAGTGGCGACTTCCCGATCAGCTCCCGGAACTCGTCAGACCAAGGTCTCCTCCACAGCCAATGGGAGGAATAATATCGGTAATGGGAGAGAGCCCCGTCCCTCCACGGCCATTGAGAGGGATAATATCGGCACTGGGTGCGATTTGCGAACTATCCTTTCACAGCCAATGAGAGGAATAACATCGACAATTAGAACGCACTGCAGTTGCGCTCAGGGTGAGGCGCCATCGAAATTACGCTGAACAGGCCTCAGTGGATTACGGTGATCGAATTGTCAGGCACAATGAATGATAATGCGATGTCACATGACCTGTAACGCATTGCCACAAAATAAAAGTAATGCCGAATAACTCTTTAAACCCAGCATGATTTGCTCACATAATTATTGCTGTTTAAAATACTTTTTTAAGTGACGTTTTTACAAGTGTTCAACCCAATACATAACAACTTCCATCCACCTTTATTTTACCTGACGCCGGCGATCTTCACAGCGTTCCAGCCTATATCTCTGAACCCGACCAGAACCCTGTGACCCGTTTCCCGTACCCTTGGCCGGCGGACCACACCCCCCGCACTCGGCATCGGCCCGGCAGGACGTTTATTTATCCAATTTACAGCGAACCGTATACAGAGAGGCCTGGCATTGATACAGTGAGGCTGGGTTAGCGCACTGGCCTCTGATGGATGGTCAAATGCTCTCCAGTATGATTCGATACGCTTTTTCGTGGTCGTTTATACGGCAGATGAATTTTTCCTTGAAGTTAAATGCGCTGTCATTTTCGTTGGTTTTGTCAGCACCATCAACGTAAGACATTTTGCGAGCTGGCAGGCAACGCAAGTTGAAGAGCTAGCCATCGAGTCAGTGTCAAGTAAACGTAAGTTACGGATATATACTTGACAACAAGCAACACACTACCAGAGAAAATACGATTGATATACTAAATTTCGGTTCACAGCCACATAAAAACGAAGTCCCCAGCCAGCTGGTTTGCCCTACACACAGCCAAGTCCATTGCTCTGTGCCCACTAGGTCCCACCCACCGCAGTCCACCCACCACCCATCGATCACCCGTACGCCCGTCACTCACCCATGGAGAGGAGCAGCTTGCTGATGTTGTTGCCGTAGAGAGTGGAGCTCTGCGCCGGCAGGCGGGACGGGAAGTCGGTGACACCCACGTGCACCACGCCCTTGTACGTGTAGATCTCTCCGGGCTTGGTGGTCTCGATGTTCCCGCCGGCCTCGGCGGCCAGGTCGACCACCACCGAGCCGGGCTTCATCGACTCAATGTGCTCCTACAGAGGGGAGACGAGGGAGTCAGAACCGGAGAGCCGGGCTTCATCGACTCAATGTGCTCCTACAGACGGGAAACAATTGTGCGAATAGATAGAAGAGAGGGAAGGCGAAGACAAGAACAAACAAAGAATGGCACACTCAGTTGTAACTTGTAAGAAACAAAGAACGAGCTTCAAAAGAATGCATTCACACCTGATTTATGTGCTAAAACGATTATGGCGATCGTATCACTAAGCCCGACCATCGTCCAAACGCGTCGTGCGACGGTCTACCTTTTTGATGAGGATGGGCGCGCGCTTGCCGGGAATGAGCGCCGTCGAGATGAGGATGTCGATCTCCTTGCACTGTTTGGCGAACAGCGCCATCTCGGCCTCGATGAATTCCTTCGACATCTCCTTGGCGTAGCCGCCCGCGCCGTCACCGGACTCCTGAGGACGGGGAAATACAGAACAGACGCGTCAGCAGCCACCCGCGCCGTCACCGGACTCCTGAGGACGGGGAAATACAGAACAGAAACGTCAGCACCCACAGCCAGATGCCTGCGCCATCACTTAATTCCTGAGGATGGGAAAACAGCTCAAAGAGAAACGTCAGAACTCACGGCAGCTACACGGTGCTGCCACCTTCAGACCAACGACAAACAATGTACCGGAGGAGAAGCCACTTATAGAAGTACACTACGAGAACGCATTTTACGCACGGCTGCGGGCTTACAAGCTGTTCATCGACCACACGCAGCCCCAACATTACCTTACCTGCTCCCACCCATCACAACCTCTCCCTACTCTCTCTCATCCCTTCACTCTCACCACTGACCTCGATGTCGACGGTGAGGAACTCGGCGCCGAAGCTCTCCACCTGCTCCTTGACGGCCGCGCGGGTGTCGAAGGCGCGCACGATGGCGCCCAGGTTTTTGGCCGTGCCGACGGCCGACAGGCCGGCCACGCCGCCTCCGATGACTAGCACCTTGGCCGGCGGCACCTGCGCAGAGGGGACGGCGGCGCCGGCTGAGAGCGGGCGGCGGTGTGAGTTAGAGGGCAGAGGCAGAGCGGCGGGGGCAGAGCGGCGGGGCCGGGTTAGCGGTACGCCGGGGTTAGCGAGGCCCAAAGCAGGCACTAGCGACCGGGAAGCTGGCAAGCGAGTGGCACAGCGAAGAGTGTTGTGTTTGGGCATTGTTAAAAGGGCTATGAACACTGAATAGTGGTACCAACACACTAGCTATCAAATCATGCACTACTACATATGTCCCATGTAAAATAAAAAGAGTGGCAATATTGAAAAGGGTTTAGCAGCTGAACTTAGATAAAAAGTCTCAAAATGGTTCCAGAGCAAACAGCGACTGACAGCCCGCTGCAAAAAGCTTAGTCACACCAGCAAACTAAAATACGAAAAAAGTAGGATAGCTTCATACTATACACACGCCACACACACAGAAGCACACTGCATTGAAGAATGTATATACAGCGAAGACCCCGCTAGTCTGCTGGTTCGTCACAACCAGCCCCGCTCCCACCCCGTCTTCCTCCACCGACCCCCCCACCTTCCCGGTTCGTCCGTTACCTTTCCGGCAGCGGTGATCTGTCCGGTGAAGAAGCGCGGGAAGTGGTTCGCCGCCTCCACCACGGCCCGGTAGCCGGCGATGTTGGCCATCGAACTGAGCGCGTCAAACACCTGGGCGCGGCTGATACGGGGCACGCAGTCCATCGCTGAGGGCGGGCAGGGAGCGGACGTCAGGCGCGAGATAGTGATGGTCTGGAGGTGCATGAATGTACAGCAAAGATTAACTATGTCTCTTCCAGCTTCACACTCAGCCTCAATATATATCAAGAGTGGCTACATGCATCATACATCAAGACACACAGCAGCACCATCTCAGCTCACCGAAGACGGTCATCTTCTTGGCGGCCAGTTTGTCGAGCACCTCTTTGTTCTGGGCGGGGTAAATGAACGAGTACAGGGTGCCCTGGTCCCGGAAGTTCGGTACCTCCTCCAGTACTGGCTGACGGACCTTGAACACAATGTCTGAAAACAACCAGCAAAAGTCAGGCTATATCGTGGGGACAAAATTTTAATTCAGCAGTAAGCTTATCATTTTAGAGCGATTATTCCAATTCGAGTTATAGTTTACTAGTGGTCTAGGTGCGAGCTTTTCATGTCCAGATTGACTCGCGACTAGACTCACCGGATTCATAAGCGGCCTTCTTGCCAACAATCTTGGCCCCGGCCTCTGCAAACATGTCGTTAGTGAAGGAGGCCTCTGCGCCGGCGTTCTCCTGTATTTGTACGGTGAAGCCCTTCTTGGTGAGGGCGGTGACCGCCACCGGCGCCAGAGCCACCCTGAGGCAGTGGAGGTCACAACAGGTCAGCGAGGGAGGGAGGAACGCGATGGCGTGGATTGTCGGTAATGAGATAGGGACAACACTCACTCGCGATAACAAAGTATTAGTGTCGAAATGAACCCTTCTAACGAACGCAGGACATCTTAACATTATTGCAATTAACCTTCGATTTTCTATCGTCTTCCGTAAAAAGATTGTACCATTAGCCAATCGATGAATAATCCTGAGCATTGCACACTACCACAACCTTTGTAGGCACTTATCTCCCAACCCCCCACCCAACCCACGCAGCACGAACCTGCGCTCATTCTGCCAGATCTCCTTGGGCACACCGATGCTCAGCCGGCTGTAGGGCACGCCTTTGGGCGCCTCGGCTGCGGCCTTCTCGGTGGGTTTGCAGCGGAGCGGGCCGTGCGAGCGGAGTCCGCGGACGGCACAGAGCAGCGGCGCCGGGCCGGGCCCGCTGCGAGCCGCGCTCAGTGTCGACACCGACAGCCGCAACACCGTCGCCATGGCGACCGACGGCGAGCACACTGTCGACAGGGGGTCACAGGTCAGACGGCGAGCCCATTCTGTCGACGCGGGGGGGGGGGGGGAGTCACAGGTTAGACGGCGAGCACCCTCTGGACGGGGAGGGGGTCAGGTCAGACGCCGAGAACCCTGTCGTCGGTGGGGGGGGGGGGGGCACAACCGGGTGCCACAGGTCATACACAGGCCGACAGCGACAGGTGATACACAGGGCAATGAGAGGTATATTTGGGCTGCAGCCTGCAACAGGTCTAATCGAGTCAGGTATCTAATGCAGAAAAAAAATACAAAAAGGCCCGCTTGAGCCGCATTAATAACTCATTATTCTTGAGGTCAAAGTCACGTTTAGACAGTATTTCTCAAGATCCAAGACGGTATGATTTTCCCACAACCCAGACAAAAACACGTCTCCGCCGGCCTGGCCGGCTGCCAGTCAGTTATGTGCGCATGGTTTTGACGAGGTTCCTCTGACGTCAGGGTCCGCGGCAGCTCGCCAAAGGTCGAGGACACCACCCAGCGCCGCTTTCGGAGCAGACATGGGCCAAAACGTGACTTCGACGGAACCACCTCGCTAAGGAAGAGTTGGCGCTGTACTTGAAAAACGCCTCCCAGGACAAGTAATTGAGAATTACTATAACATCGTAACCTAACCTAAAAGCAGGGACGTTTTCCCCTGTTCCGTCACGACATGCTTCCTCCCGCAATTTCGTACAGCGAGTATCAGACTGAAGGGTGGGGAGGCGGGGAACAGACACCGCCTCCGATCCCGTTAGAACAAACTCTGCCCTCGCACAGCGTTGCGTCAGCAGCCGCGCCGACAGCCGACGGCCGACGGCTGTGCGCTCTGTAAACCGACACGGGACGGCTCACCGGCACCAAAAACCACCAGCTTACTACATAGTTGATCATGTTGATGCACTGGTCTTATGCTATTTTTCAAGTGCCTTTAACGCCCAGGAACAGCAGTTAAATGAGCAGCTAAATATGCGCATCTACTGAAATGCACCCGGAAGTGGATCGATCACAACCCAGCCGCTGCATCATCTGACGCGAACGCTACGCATGGCTGGAGTGAGTGGAACAAAACTGTCACAAGAAAGCTGTTCTGAGGCTCCAAGAGACCTCGCTCGCACAGACAGGTTTAACCCGCGCCCCGTAGGGCTACCGGCGGACCCTACCATCCGTAGGGGGGGGCCGTTTCGGCCCCCCCCCTAAGATCTCGGAAAGTTACCGGCCGATTTTCAAAATTCAAACGGCGTTCGATAGCCCCACCCGGGAACTACCTTGTGACCAAATTTCATTGACCTAGGTCAAACCGATGACGTCACAGGTCAGGTCAAATGTCAGATTTTCACCGTTCACAGGCAATTCAAGAAATGTGCTGTGAAAGCGAGTAAATTGGTAATTTATTGAAAACCATCGATGGTACATTGTTCGCCAAACACATACTTTGCTATCTGAGGTCACTGATGCCAGGTCAGGTCACAACGAGGTCAGGTCACCGGGGTCACAATATGAATGTGTCGTGTGATACATGTTTTATGGTCCATTTTACATGACAAATGCGATTATGTGGGTTAGGCAGCCTTTGGGGCCAGCCTAGGTCACGTTTTTGTGAAGGTCAGGTCAAGGTCAGGTCAAATTAGGTCAAATTTCAAAGTTGATATTTTTGCATAAAATGGGTATCGATTCGATGCAGCTCGTCACGGGGAGTCTAATGGTGGTCTTCGTTTTGCTCTACGAGTTCTAGAATTGCCAAAAATTGAGTTTGAAAATTTGACGTCATCATTTTTGAACAGTTTTTTCGCTATAACTTGGCCAAAAAACGAGGTATCGATCTGAAATTTGGTATGTAGATAGAAGACGGTAGGCACTATCACATATATTCCGGTTTTTTCGAAACTCAAAAAACTTTTTGGATTTTTTGGCGAATATATCAAAAAAATGTTTTTTTGACTTTCGGGGGTCAAAACTCAAAAATTTCAAAAATTCGAGATAGCAGTTTTGTAGCCCTGTCAATTCTACACCTTTTATGTCTTGATCATTTTTCTGTATCTTCAAAGCTGTAGTCCTGACAGGTCTTCTCGCGAAGGTCTTTTTTCGGTCGAAAATGACAGAACATGACGTCACTCTGACGTCATTTGTGGCCAACCTATCATACCCTCTGGAAAAATTTTTGGTCACAATGTGTAAAATTGATGCCCGGAGGGGTCCTAAAAGTTTGGTGGCGATATCTCCAGCCGTTTAGGAGATATCGACCGAAAAGGACAGGGGGGGGCCGTTTCGGCCCCCCCCCCTACGGGGCGCGGGTTAAGCCGGTCCCGCCGCCGTGGGCGTAACCATGGACCGCTGCTGACTGCCGCCCGAGGTTGGCACCCGTCCAGGGCGCACTGCGCAGGAATGTCGGACCGGCAGGTGGCGACACCTATCGCAAGAAAAGGGAACTACAAGTACCGATCACTACCGCACCAGTCTTTCTCTTGTGCCTTTCCTTGCAGTAGGGATCATGCATAATATTGCATGCTGAGGGCACATCACATAGGTAACCATTACAAACATATATCTTTATTTAGGATATTTGTTAGGCTCCATAACATATCTCACATATTAAAGAAAAAGGAAAGGATGAAAGGTTCTCTGTCTCATGTTTCCAAGAATGGGGGGGGGGGGGGGGGAAGTGCATTTTCCTTCAAGCCCTTTCACACTATTACCTACGTGTATTTTTGATAGCTCATCAGAGTTCAGTGCTGCAGGCTAGAGATAGCCACTGAAGATGTTCAGATTTGTACATAACAAAACCATGTAGGTAGATGCTAGCCATCTTGAGTTATAACAGACAATCAGGACCAATCCAAACTTGTGGAAGGACAAAGACCTCCAAATTCATGAGGCAGGTAGCATGCTACACATTAGCTGTAAGCTTGCATGCATTTTGAGACAACAAGAGCAGTTTCAAGTGGCAAAAATAGCCATAAAAATATACATGTCTACATAACAGTCTAGAGATACATGTAATTTCTGCATCACTATGCAATAAAACAGACAAATGTTGATATAAAGCAGCATCAGCATCAGCTGATAACACTTGAGAGGTCCAGGCCTGTGCAAACAAAATAGCATCTGACATAACAACTTAAAATATCAGTGATCTCTGCCATTTGTGGTTGACATAGCTTAAAACAAATAAGTGAATTGGTACTATTGCTGCAGTTTATTGCTGCAGTTTGCTATTGTTGCATATCTGGATACATCATTTCATGCATTAACACAAAAAATAGCCATGCAATTCATATGACACAAAAAATAGACAAATTTCCTTAGCATATTCTCTTGACATATGAAACAAATGTGTTATTTTCTTTACCAGAGAAATACCCATGGATATTTTCTTAAAGGGACCCTCCCACCTCAACATTAGTTTTGAGTTGAGATAGCCAAGTTTGCGGCCAGGCTCAGAAACCACCATTTATCCTGGTCGCAACCCCCGCAGCTTTATGGTGTTCAAGAAATTTCTTCCCTTTACTTGCAGGGTGGGACCAGCGTGGTCCCTATCTCTTAACCATTACGGGAATCTGATGACGTCATCAGGCTTTCGAACGTCCGTTAAATGTTTGACTAAAACGTTTTGTAGCACGCGGTGGTATATGCTGCTTTGCGCGTAACAAATGCCGCACTTTCAAATCAAGTCGCTAGGAACAGCTGAGATCCCAAAAAGTAAACAAAAGTAAAAGTCTAATATCTTGAAAACCGGTGAATATTTTTCGATGAAATTTGGTAGATATTCGTTTTTGCTCTTTCTGAACCGAGTGACATCACTTTCATGTCAATTCATTAACTTTTTTGAAGGTGGGAGGGTCCCTTTAATGTCAAGTCAATAGTTATGGCACGAGAGTGGACCAGTTGGGTTCACTTATAATGTCAAGAGCAGGACCAACAGGGCTTATTAGTCCTGTTTACCTGCACATCAAGTACATCAAGTACAATAGTTGATCGTAATTTTGGTAACATTTAAAGGAACACAAATCGCATTCAAGGAGACGGCTTATTTCATGCAAAATGCTGAAAAACTCACCGAGAGGACAGCCGCACGGCTGTTACAGTCCCTTCCCCTCGGCTTCCCAAACGAATGTGTGGAAAAGATTTGTTTTTCCTTAGATTCTGTTTCCAGTAGAGTCGGTTGATATCTTGATACCTAGTATTTCATTGGCGATGTGTGTCAGCCTGCTTTTCATTGGTCTAGTTTTTCGGTATCTTAAACTACTCTGCGCCAGAGCGTAGAAGCTCAACGCCTATCAGTATAGCAATGATTCTTCTTGTTTCACTGTAAAGTACAATATATATGAATTAGATGTACACAAAACACGAAAAAATGACACAAACAGGAAAAGTTAGGGAAACAGTAAACAAAAATAAAAGTATAAGTAAGTAAACTTGTTCTACTAGTTTACGTAGAAATGCCGTCCAATCAGAGACCGGCATTACCGGCTCCACATGGAGCCACGCCCCCTCTCCAGCGCGCCGGGTTCGCGCCTTGGTTCGCGCGGGCTGTGTCTGTTTTTGAGGCTGGGGTCGGGGCCGGTTCGGACGGTCACGCAAATCTTGGATCTGGAAGATGGCTGGAGTGCTTACTAAGGTTTCGCGCTGCGCCGTTGGCGTTCTTGGCCAGCAAGCAAAGTTTGCGGCCCCCGTCAGCGTTGCTTCTCGGCGCAATTGTAAGTACCTAATACCCCTAATAAGCCTGCGATTTATCGCTACGTGACCTTGAATAACATAGGTGACGATTGTTAGGTGACAAGTCAAAGTGTCAAAATCTGCTTCGCTTTCGTTTTTATCAAAATGCTGCTATTTTATGTGTGTTTTTGTGTGCCTTTTTTGTTCATTCTGGCATGATTCACACCGCCCCCAATAGGTCAAGCTCCCCATGGTTTTAGGAGGGGTGAGGCGAGTGAGGACGCTCACGGCACGGTGTTGTTTCAAGCTTCGCATATTCCAAGGCCATTTATGCATATTCGACCGAAATCATGTCCATATTGTGATGCTCATTGCTCTGTCATGGTGGCGGTGCAGATGAAGTGAGAGCTGTTTTCACAGGGCTCGGCTCGTGCACGGAGGTTCAGTTCATCGCCACGTCACGGACTCCTTTCAGCAGGAAATCTTACCTTATCGTACTTCCGATAACGACCTTTGTTCCGTCAGTATTTTTCCATGAACGTGGGACGGATATGGCGCGAAGATGCACGAAACCTCGAAGGCCAAGGGCGTCCCTGTACTATTCAACCTTTCGCTGGCTGGTGGAAAATTTGATGGATATCTGAGGCTATGGCCTGAGGCTATCTGAGGATCTGAGGCCAAATTTGTGCCGAACTCCCTCCCAGAACTCTAGACGTACCGTGGTCGCCCAGAACTTATGTGGCCGTTGCGCATCGTTTAAACGCCCCGTGAGGCGTGTCACGGTTCTTTGACCCTATCTGTGCCCTGAGAGCAAGGCTATATAAACCAGGTAGAACGCTCCGGGAAAAAAGTTGGAAACAATAAATTAGTTGCAGCATTCCCTGATGACGCGAATGTGGGTCAGCGGCCGGCGGCCGGCGGCCGCTAACACTGTATGAGGATGAGTGCACGGAACTTTTGCTTGTTGGAGATTGCGCTAGGCAGTTAAATGTTAATGTTAGGATATGTTTCGAAAGTAAATTGAACGACGCTTCGAACGCCGTCAATGAATTTGCGATGCGACGCCTATTTGTTTAGTTAGAGCCGGCGAACTTTTATTTCCGACCGCGCGGGGAGGCGATATGGTGCCACACTGACGGTTTTTTAAGATAGCTCAAAATTCTTTTAAGCTAAAGAGCTGAAATTTGACTCGTCCAATCTTTTGATCAAGCTGGATCTTCTGGTACAGGTCGCATGTTTAAGGTACGTCAGGTTGTTGACCTATGTTGTCGCTCGTGAGCCTCTGCACAGTCCAAAAACAATGCAATTTCTGAACACTCAGTGCCAAGAAATCCTTCACACAAAGATGACACTTGGCAGAAAGAAGAGCTGTCGGTTTCTTGTCGTTCGTATGTGTCGTGTTTTCACAAGAGTTTAGTAAGGTCAGGTCCGTCACGTGACCTCCCCTCATAACTCAATAGGTTTACTTTCATAGAAGCGTTTATCAATCGCCGGAAATCTTAGCCAATCCCACTGGACACTGGATCCATACCCACATGGGGCCCTCCTGACTGGCCACTCCCTCTGAAATTCACAATAACATTAGGCTGCGGCCACGGTTATGTATTAATGCTTTTCACTGACAGAAATACAACAACTTCAACCACCACAGTGCACGCCGCCACAACAGTCCGACCCCCGTCCCTGATATCGACTAGCACCCGGCCGGATGCACATACGCGGAGCCAATCAGTCCGAATGTGACCTGAAGCTTACAATTGCTGTGTCGCATGGCGCATGGCACAGGACGATTCCTAGCAGCTGTCGGCTGAAGTGGAGAAACAGCACGTTGCGACACACCGCGCCGGCGACAGAGCTCGGCAGGGCTGGTTTGAGGCTAAAGCCGGAGGTAAGGACGGACACAGGCACATACATTGCAGGACAAATAACAGGATGTCAGTTAGGGATATAATTCAAGACGAATGATTCAAGACGGACTGAAATAATGCACATTCTGCTCACTTAGATACCAACTTCAAGCTTGACATTTATAGCACCACGGAAACAATGGGCACACAGGAAAGAAATAAAAGATGAGGTGTTTTTAACTCAAGGAGGTAAAAAGAGGTTGCATATGATGGAACAGCCCGAAGTGCAGACAAGCACATATTTTTGGTAATAGCTATCAGCTGTCCTACTTCTCTTCTCCCTTCACCAACTACTGGACACATTTGAAGCATCATATTAGCACCAATGTCCATGACAAAAGCTTGCAAGTAGTTTTATGAAGCCAAGGGAAATATGCCTACATCATGCATGTAAGCTCAAAATGCATTACAAAGGAAGGTTATCTAAAGAGAATAGTGGGCAAAAGCATTTCATAGTTAAATTATTCAAAACTGCACACAGGGCAAACATAAAAAGCAGCAAGTGTAGTGTTCTGTTATGCTTAAAAATAGTCCAAAACAAAATACAATCTTTTCTTGTTTGAATTGGTTGTTCTTCTATGCCAGTTGCCACTTCATCCATATCTTGATTACAGATGGGCTGTTACTGTAGGCTGATGAAGTGACACTTGATTGCCTTTGTGCGAGTTTCAGTTGCAGCCTCCTAGGTACTGCACTGGAAAGCAGATTGAATTGAATGCCTCTGAAAGATAAGAATATAGGCAAAGTTAGCTGTAGTAGTGTCAATGATAATAGACATGACATTTTTGTCTCTTGACATACATTTGTTGAAGTACAAAAAGGTACAAAATAAATTGGTTTGTTTCAAGACACGCACACTGCACAAAGCCGCACAGACATTACACAAGCATATGAAATTGGTACACATAAAACTTGATGATTAAAAAGGTCAAAACTAGCAACAATAATTAATTGAAGTAAAAGTTACAATCACAATCATTTGATTTAAAATGAGTTGACATAAGTCACAAGACGCAACGCTCCTATTCTTTTATGCTTTCATTATCCTCCACATATCAACCAGCTTGATACCAGGCTGTGCAATAGTGGGTACATAACCCCATGTTTCCATTTTACTAGAGTAAGTGGGGTTACAACAACAATGCTAATGTCAAACCCACATCTGCAACCCGTACTGAAGTTTCAATCACCTTACAAGAACACCTTCTGGCAGTTTGATGGGCAGAATGGTCATAACTACTTTCTCCTCATATTCAACACAAATTATCTCTTATACAGATACAGTTTAGACTTAGTTATGGCAAGCATTTTCGAGAAAAGATATGATAAAAGTCCAAGACAAGGGTCGAGAGAAACAACACCAACATAAAACACCGACTATGTAGCACTAATACTATCAAATTCATAAAAATATATACATGAGTCGATCAGAAATTCACTGTAGATTTCGAAAATGGTGTCAAATGCCACTCAAATACCCCCATTCGCATGTACGAAGCAATATAACACTGACCTTCAGTTCCGCGTGCCATCCTCCATAGGCCACTGTGTATTAAATAACGCGTTCACTGATCGCAAAAAAATGAGACCCACATATGACGCGTTTGCTACCAGCCAATCAGCGCTCGAGATGCCGAGCGCCGATTGGTGGAGAGGGCCGTCGTCAGCAGTCCATTACATGTTGTTTTCCTTGAACATATACGTGAGCAGCTGATGCTGCTCACGGGTTGTTTCCATTTTTCGTAATGCTGAAGGCACGGGAGCGAACCCCCCTGCCTGAGAGGTAAACACGCCCCCTCCACGTCCCGCGCCGGCCGCGCCGCCCGGCGGCCGCCGCGGTCACGTGTCAGTCCGAGGCACGCGTGTGAGTGGCCTCTGTTATCGTTCGGTCGGCGTCCAGCGCAGGTCGACACACCTCCGCTGCCGGCGCGGGGCGGGCGCGTCATCCGCGACCAGCCAAGGTGACCGGGGACGCGCCCCGCCCCCTCCCCGCCCGGCCCCGCCCCCCGCGCAGACGCGCCTCCGTGTCTCTGACGTCAGAGGTCGACCAGCCCCGCCAAAACGGCGGAAATATGACGACCTCCCTGTCATGGCGGTCGTCGCCTCCGAGCGGCCGAAGGAGATGGGACGGCTGAAAGGTGCTCTCTCATAGCCGGCGGTCTGGACCGAGTGGAACCCTCTCCCGACCCTGTCTGAGGTCTGGTGTTCAGGGCTCAGTTCATATAGAAAAACCAGTCGGGAAGTGTCACTTTTACAAAGGGACGCTTTTGGTAACATTGGTGCCGGTGTGTAAGGGTGGCTATATAAACCCATCTATCGGGCCCCCCTTTCCAATAAGTGTCCCTTAGCAGCAAAGGGGCTCTATATAAACTGGGCCCAGAACAACAAATCACGCCAAACTTTGTTCAGCACACCCCAACCCTTGAAAACAAGAGAGACGCCCCAGAAAATGCTCGAAACATCTCAATCGTGTGCTAAGTTATTTGATCTTCAACGGATCGCAGCTACTGACTTTTGTCTACTCCATCCACTTTTGCTTTGTGGTATGTTGTTACCAGAAGAAACTTTCGCTATTAGCGCCCTCAGACCGCTCTGCGGCAGCTGGTCGTCTGCCAGGGGGTGTCTATTTTATTTGTTTAAATTCCACCCCGATGTCACCTCAGGATTTCTCCTCGCTGACGTCGTTTATTTTCGGCCTCTGATATTTATATTATGCGCTGATCGTCGTCCTTGACGGAGGGAACGTGACTGTAAAAAAAACATGGCTCAGCAATGCGTGACGGTCGAACCAAAACGTGACAGTCGCGTGTGACAGACACGTGAGACCGCCTTCAGGTCCGGGCTGCTTGGATATGAGTGGAACGGTATAAATATAAAGGTTAGTTTCGTGGATCCAGCGCTCGAGTCGGAAGGCGTCATTCTGTGAGTTCGGGAAACTGATCGAAGCCGAGCGCCCAAGCAAACGGCTATCCTGCAAATCAGGGGTGGGAGGCGCTCATTTTGTGATTGCGTGGATTTTTCGGGGCGCAATTTATAGAAGAATCAGCAAAAATGCGATGCTGAAACTCCAAAGTGGGAACCTTTCCCAAATCCAATCTCCACGGCAGCTCGTTTCTCCCCCGGCGGCTGAGTTCGGCCGGAGACCCCACTTCTGCCGGACTGTGTCCGTGCCAACTGCAGGGCGCCGGGTGACCGTTTATGTTGGCGGCGGCTCCATCCGGCGACTGTGCTGGTCGGTGGACACCCCTCAGCACCCCTCTGAACCCTTCTGGACCCTTCGGCGCCCCTCTGCGCCCCTCAGCACCCCTGTATCCCTGTCTTGGGACGGCGTCACGGCTGTCTCAGCTGATACGACCGTGTCCAGGGGCCTCGTTTCATAAAGTGAGTCCGTAACTTACGCCAGTTTTTGGGCTTGTATTGCAAGCGCATGTGAAGCGATAAGTTTATTTCCCCTTCTCCCTTCTGTTTTTGCTTGCAAGATAAATAAATTCAACGATTCAAACTATCGTCATCGCTTCACATGCAATTGCAACACAAGACCAAAAACCGGCGTAAGTTACGGACTCGCTTTATGAAACGAGGCCCTGGAAGTCGCCCTGACGTGACAAACACCCACCCCTCCCTGGTAGCCGCCGGGAGCTCCCCTGAGGTAGCTGCTGTTCCGCCCATTTCACACTTACCTCCCTATCCCCTCCGACCCCTGTCCCTCCCTCCCCCACCGTCACCCATCCCCACATACCCCGCCATGGGTCTCCGGTCGCTCAGAATCCGGCTGATGCAATCGCCGTGTGCCTGGCTGCGTGCTCGCCGCTCGGGTCTCGGCTCCCTGCGGGGCCGCTCACGGCCTGCTGCTGGTGAGGGGACGACATTTTCCATTGGGCCATGGTTGTTTGGCTTCGGGAAGGGTTTGGCGGCTGGTCACTGCTCCGTTTGCATGGATGGATGAATGCTGTCGGCGGTCGGCCGAAGTTTGGCGTGTCGCTGTCCGGTGGTCCTCACGACTACGACTGGGCCCGGCTTAGACGTTTCGATTCGAAGGAATCTATCATTTGAATTCTGGAACCGAAGGAACATTGTTTCAACTACGGAAAAGGTTCTAGTGACTGGTATTCCCGGACCACTCCAGGTGTTTCTATCTGCTCTCAGTCAAGAGTAATAACCGTCAACCCTAATCCTCGGTCGGACACAATATTCAAAAAGTATTTAACCTCCTCCGGCCCCCAACTTACACTGGCGCGAATTTTCAGCGAGCGCAGGCTGCCGGGCTCATGCACACAGCTCTGGATGACCGACGCTCCACCGGAGTGGCACTCGCACATACACACATGGTTTGAACTCTTTTAAATAAACAGTGACCAGACGGGTGTGGCCCCGTGTGCTGATACGCTGTATCGGTATCGGGGGTCGCTCGCCGGCCGTCGGAGCGCGTGTGGGTCGGACACTACACTGCTACGATAAAGTTGTTGTTTATATTCTACGATTTTATTATTTTACCTCTACATAATACATTTGAGAAACAGACCGTTTTCTCGGATTAGAATACTTAGGCACGTGCCTGTACTAAGGTCCATTATAATCCTTCTGCGGATTTGTAGGCGTAGGTTATTACCAGCTATAAAGCCTCGCTCATCGACCCACTTCATTCGACATATCGATAGAGTATCATCCATTATTACAGGTGCTTTCCATTATTTGACCCAATCATACAACTAGCCACAGTTGTCCGCCTGGCTCGCTGGTTACCGCAGGTGGGCTCGCGGTTCTCAGCGGGTCACAGCCGGCGCGCGCGGTGTCCCCTGTGGTCCCACAGCTGCTGCCTGCTGGGTGTCAAAGGGGCGACGCGACAGTTGACATCCGATCGATATTCGATACCGAAAGTGGTCGCGGTGGTGGCATTATGTGATGAGCTATCCGCTATCCGTAGTACCAAAACGGCTATTATGGTATTGTTGAGATGGGCTTGTAACTGTAATTACCGTCAAAACCAAATGGCCAATAGTATAGCTGTATCGCGTTATTGTACTCTGACCATAAGTGTTACCCATACCTAAGCCGTAAGTGACGTGGTCGCTCCGGGTCATTACCGTCCAATGTCTCGCTGTCTGGCCGGGTCTTGGCAGCTCCTTTTCTACCTGTCATGGGACTTCATCAGCGGTCAGATGGACGGCCGATAACGAACGACCAACTGTCACCGCAGGGCGGAGCAGCTCGAAATCCGCCTTGGTGAACGTTTTTTGTGGCCGCTTTTTGTGTATGCTTTTCTTAGCGACCTTTTTATACACAGTATGTATGCAGTATGTATGCAGTAGAAGAAGTTAACCTATCTGGTGACCGGATAGTCTAGTCGCTCGTCTGAATTTCAAATAGCTTGGCATTGTTTGTAACACTTTAAATGGTGTGCTGCAACCATGTTAAGGACAAGTATGTCATTCACGTTACTTAAGAACACATGAGCTGACGATCATGGCGCACTCACACCAGAAACGCGTACAACTTTCCCTCTTATTACCCCATTCAACGCTAAGCTTCACTGTGGTCTGTGGGTGTGCGTCTGGCGTTGCAACGGCCGTTAGACGAAGTTTTACGTCCACGCAGCTGCCACTAAAATCCGCTTACGCTAGCTTCCGCCCGCGTACGCTGGCGTGGCGGTTCCACGTCGCTCGGGACTAGAGATATCGATCGGCGCCGGTCCCCTGCCCTCCCCTGCCCTGCGCGTTCTCCCCTGCCGCCGCCCGCTCGCTGTTGCGCCACCGACGCAGGCCGGCGGAGTTGCAGCGGACGCCGGCTGAGACGGACTGGACGGCCGGGTCGCCGCCCTCAGACCCAAGGTCGCACGCCGCCGCCGCAGCCGGCCGGCGCCGTGTGTGTGGTGCGCCTGAACTTGGCCTTTGCAGAGTGATGCGGCAGGATGGGAGGGGCGGGGCGGGCGAGGGGGCGTGGCGGACGCTCAGCTTCACCCGTTGTAAGGAAACGATGCTTGTGAACCCTTAAACCTTTATCTGTTGTTGTTGCTTTAGAATGGGTCAATGCTGTCATCTCTTTGTTACCTGTTCCAATTAATTGTAAACGTTTTGCAGCACTTCCGAATTCCGATAGCTCAAGCTACCTAACAGAAACCGGTTACCTAGCATGAAACCGGTCTGGTATTTCTTTCTACAGACTAGCTGATATCTGTCTACCAGCTTTGGGCCTCTTGGACGCGTTGGACACTTGCAATGGTTTCCACGTTTCTCCAGCTACTTCTATTGGTTCCAGAAATCCAGGCGATCATTCCATATCATCTCATGCCACGTGACAGGCCGATAGGGGCACATACCCGGCTGTTTTTCTAAGGCGGCTCTTGTAGGGGAGAGTGGGGCAAAGCGGCCACCCTAACGTTTCTAACGATGCCGACGCTTGATTTTTAAACTTGGAAAGATTCTTTCTATACCAATGTGATCCCTATTAAATTGTCTTTTATTCCAACTGCGTTTCATTTCCAAAGGCGTTCACATATGGGAGATATTGACAAAACTTTAAACCTATAGCATATTGGCCACTTTGCCCCATCCCTGAGGCAAAGCGGCCACTGGCGACTTCTCAAGTCCCGATATGAGAAACAGAATAGTTGCCTCATGCACGACTAGGGTATTTGATGGTGACAAGGTTTAAGGGAAGATGGATGTTTACTTTGTTATCTTCCCACCTATTGCTAAACAAAGAAAGAATTTTCTTGGAAAAAACATTTAATTGCATAATTTGGTAACTCATGTAACCGAAAAGTGGCCAAGATGAATGCATGACGACACATTTGAATATAAATAATGTTTTTATCCAGATGGAAACAACTTATGGCCAATTGGGGGCTGGCCACTTTGCCCCGGCCGCTTTGCCCCGCGCATACCGTCCGAGACAAAAATATTCCAGCTCAGCTATTAGTGGGGTAGAAAGCATTAAAATTGGTAGAAGGCATGTACGATAACCACGCAATGCATGGACAAAAACGCTTATAAAAATTCCAAACGGTTATGGAATAAAATAGCATTTAAAAATTGTAGACATAATTGGTAACCTGGCAAGAAATGCTTTTCCGTGTTTCACAGAACAATGGCGATGGGCCTGAAACCCCGGTCTGGCTCATTCGAACGACCGCAAAGAGAAGTATAATTGGAAATAATAAATTGGAACTGACGCCAGCTGTGGAGGGCTAAAACGATGGATGGCCGCTTTGCCCCGGGTGGCCGCTTTGCCCCACTCTCCCCTAGGTCTCGGTGCTCCGTTTTCGTGTCGCACGTTTTTACGGCCGACAGTCGCGTCCTGCGGGTGTTTTTAGGCCTGGGGCGGGTGTTTGCGGTTTCGCCAGACGGCAGCGGAGTAATATGTCACTGGAGGAGAGGGAGGGGAGGGGTGAGTGGGAAGGGCAAAGGTCACTCCGGAAGGAGGAAATACAGGGTGCGTAGAAATTCGACTCCCGTCGGCGTTCTTCTGATGTTGTTTTGATGTGTTCGGCAGTGAAAGGCCTTGCTCTCCGCTAAATCGAAGCTAGGTGAATGATGAGCTATCCCTCAGCTATTATCGTCCAATGCTTCATTCTCCATTTTTTATCAGTTGCTCTACTTGACAGACCAACCGACATTTCTCAGCAGAGCTCTGATGCCTGTCTTCAGTCACCTCATCCACTCTGCCAGGCGCCTCCGCCGCAGCGCTTTGTGCAACCGCTAACCAGACCCAGCCGCCACTGCCCTCTTCCCGCGTCTGTGACCCTATCACTAACCGCTCGTCCCGCTTCTCTGTGCTCCAGATGCCTCCAAGAAGCGGATCGATGTCGTCAACCCGGTGGTGGAGCTGGACGGTGACGAGATGACCCGCATCATCTGGGAGAAGATCAAGGAGACGCTCATCTTCCCCTACCTCAACGTGAGTGGCATGGTCTCTCCCACTTCATTGCGAGTGGCGTGTTGGTCGGACCCGTGAAAATCCAGCACAATGCTCTGAATACTATAGAGGGGGCGTTCCACGACAAATCGACAAATAAAAAATTAAATTTGCACCCTCATATTTTATTCTTCGTTGAAAACTGGTGTAAGGGGTTGTGATGGGCGGGGAAGCCAGCTGTGGCAAGGATTTTTTTCTTCGAACAACGGTTTCCGAGATATAGCCTCGGGCAATTCCTGGAGTTCGCGCTGCGGCCCTATGTTTGGCGGCCTATAACTCAGAAACTATTGGTATTTTACGATAAAAACTTTATATGGTTCAACACACAATCAACCAACAAACATTTTGGCTATCTCGGATTTTCAATTTTTGAAAATTTTGATCACGTGACCTTTTGTCCTATTTTTCGAAGAGTGACCTTGATATTTTCCCCACTGAAAGTTTTAATTTTGTCTGATGACGATTAAAGCCTTATCAATTGTCATTCATATGCGATAATAAAAAAGTGGTTATCGCCCTGCGTTGACCTCAGGTCAGGTCATTTTTATGACCTGTCCATTATTACGAGCGGGAGCGACAGCGAGATCTCGAGAATAAAGCAAGATAGCGACAAGCGGTAAACGGCAAAGGGTACACACGGATAAGGTCTATAATTTTTACTGAGGTCATTTTCAGGTCAGGTCAAAGATGACGTCACAGGAGCTAAAAGG